AATAACCACAAATGAGGATGGTCACATGCTAATCTATGATCCATCAATATCAACATCCTGTTCTGTCTACAAATTTATCATTTGGCTGGGAAGCTCAGTTTGTATAGCTCCTTGGCTCCCCTTGACTAATAGGGAATATATGGGAATATGAATTCCCATGGCTCCGGATAGCACCCTCCAAAACACTGGAGTTACTAATAATTAGAAAAACGTATTTTCATGTATTTCATGTATTGTCTGGATTAGAAAAAAGTATTTTCATGTATTTCATGTATTGTCTGGATTGGTTTTCACTACATACTGTTTTTTTTTCACTTTTTTTGCTAATCCAGAGATGCTCCAGTTAGTGTTGGTATATAATAAATGGGTTCTATAAGCACGTACAAATACTAAATACCATTATTTTAACTACTAGATATTCGCGCAATAAGCAATCCAAAAGTAATATACCAATGGTGACATGCTGTAAGTAATCTATAGTAATCTACAGTTAGTAAAAGGCTACTGGTAATATCTGGTAATATGCTATTAGTAATGTACTATGAGTAGTGCACTGCTATTATTGGCAATAATTTTTCATATTGGAATCCCAGTCATAGTACTCTTTTCATTACTATACACTTTAGACTATTAACAATATACTATGATTATTCAAATTCTAGAGTCATTATTACATATCTGAGTAGTAAAGTATCATAGTTCACTAACCTGAACTAAGGCCATTTGGGGATGATTTCCCTTATTAACCATAATTTACCCAGATATATTAAAGTCATTGTTTTTCCCCATCCCACCTTAATGGTACTGCAGAAGCCCAACGCTGAAGACCCCGAGGTCTCTGCCAGATTTGGAGAAGCACGCAGCTCCAGCAGCGTCAGCAAGGCATCTTCGCCTACAGCATCCTTTGCTGGAACCCCTGTCGGTGTTTCGTGCCTATATATTATGTATATCAGCAAAAAAGACGCAAAAAGTATACAACCAGCATGATTTGGTGTAGAATGTTCTATATATATATATATGCATGCTTATTTAAATAAATAAATAAATAAAAAATATATATATATGTGCATGCTTATTTAAATATATATATATATGCACACCAGTATGCGCAACATGAAATGCAGTGCGCAGTGCCTCGCGAGCCCTGATGCGCAGCTAAATGGAGACATCGCCAGGCACCACATTGCCCCACCTGCAAAGGAGCAGGTCTTGGATCCTTGCAAGGCATTAAACGATACAACTGTATATCTATAAATATTTAAAAACGAAATAATGATCAGTAAAGAAACATATTCAAAACTAGTTGATGTGTGTTTCCTTTTTTTTTTGGCTTACTATACATACATAAATACATACATACATGCATACATGCATACATGCATACATGGATACAAGGATACATGCATGCATGCATACATGCATACATAAACACATGCACACATGCAAGCATGCATGCATGCATACATGCATACATGCATACATGCATACATGCATTACATACAGTACATACGTTACATACATTACATGCATTACATACATACATACATACATACATACATACATACATACATACATACATACATACCATACATATCATACATACATGCATGCATGCAAGCATACATCCATACATCCATCCATCCATACATACATACATACATTACATACACTACATACATTAGATAAATTACATACATTACATAAATTACATACATACATACATACATACATACATACATACATACATACACACATACATACATGCATGCATGCATGCATACATACATACATACATACATTACATACACTACATACATTACATAAATTACATACATACATACATACATGCATACATACATACATACATACGAACGTACATACATATATATATATATACATATTTGCATACATACATAACATTACATTACATTACATTGCATTGCATTAAATTATATTACATACATTACATACATTACTTACATTACATACATTACATACATTACATACATTACATATGTTACATACATTACATACATTACATACATTACATACATAACATACATAACATACATAACATACATAACATACATGACATACATACCATACATAACATACATATCATACGTAACATACATAACATACATAACATACATAACACACATAGCATACATAGCATACATAACATACATAACATACATGACATACATACCATACATAACATACATATCATACGTAACATACATAACATACATAACATACATAACACACATAGCATACATAGCATACATAACATACATAACATACATCACATTACATACAAAACATACGTAACATACATACAAAACATACATAACATACATAACGTACATAATGTACATAACATACAAACCATACATAACATACAAAACATAACGTACAAAACATATATAACATACATAACATACATAACATGCATAACATGCAACACATGCATAACATACATAACATACATACCATACATACTATACATACCATACATACCATAAATACCATACATATCATACATATCATACATACATACATACATACATCCATACATACATACGTACATACATACATACATACAACCATACCATACCATACCATACCATAATATACATACATACCATACATACCATACATACCATACATACCATCCATACCATCCATACCATACATACCATCCATACCATCCATACCATACATACCATACATACCATCCATACCATCCATACATAGCACACATACCATCCATACCACACATACCATACATACATACCACACATACCACACATACACTACATTCACTACATAGACTACATGCCTACATACCATACACACACATACACACACAGACACACACAGACACACACACACATACACACATACACACATACACACATACATACATGCATGCATGCATACATACATTACATACATACATACATTGCATACATACATACATACATACATACATTGCATACATACATACATACATACATACATACATACATACATACATACATACATACATACATACATACATACATACACACATACATACATACATACACGCATTACATTACATTACACTACATTACATTACATTACATACATTACATTACATTACATTACATTATATTACATTACATTACATGACATGACATTACATTACATACATACATTACATTACATACATACATACATACATTACGTACGTACGTACGTACGTACGTACGTACACACATACATACATTACATTACATTACATTACGTTACGTTGCGTTGCGTTGCGTTACGTTACGTTACGTTACGTTACAAACATACATGTTACATTACATACATTACATACATTACTTACATTACATACATTACATACATACATACTACGTTGTACCTCGAATCAGTTTAGTTTCCCCACCTATTGCACTGCTTGTGTTCCCAGGTCAGGGCAGAACGCTTTTCCAACAACTGTTGGGCTGGTGATGGCCTGGCTTGAAGACGGGCTCTCTGAAGGCTCCGAGGCCATGGCAAAAGTGACAATGCCACTCCTATAATCGACATGTGCAGCTGTTGGTGCCAAAGGGCAAGGATGTAGCACCGGGATATGTGGTATGCCTCTTAGAATCCTGAAGTAGCAGCCCAAATCTTTTGGACGTTTAGGATGCAGGAAATGATGGGCAATGGATAGAATTTTCTGGATGCCCATGATTTCTGCTAAGGTAAGCCATATCAATCTGGGAGGTGGATCCAAACAATGAGCTTTTCCATCTTTGCTTCTACATGATCAAGTTCCAACGGCATTTTCCTTGAAGAAAACACGTGCACCATCGCGTAAACTGTGGGACACGAAGTGAACGTGGCCTGGTATACAGTTACGTTCAGGAATTGAATTGATCATATTATCACCCATCTATTGACCAAGCCATCTATAAAACTATAATTGGTATCTTTTGCATCCCTGGCTGCAGCCACCCACCGGGCTGGCATGAAACTCTATACTAATGTAGGCCTAAATTCCACCTCGGTGTGCATCTCGTTCTGTGCATATCCTACTGGGTCTGTACTTTGGACTGATGCTAGCATGTTTCTATTTGTATTTCCTTTAGGTCTTAAAGTCCATTCATATGTTTGGGATTCGGTGGTTTGTTAAATGTTGGCGCGTAAGAGCAAATCCTCAAGAAACACATCTAAGGTCAAGCTTGCTAAGCAAATGAGGTGGATTTCATCGGCAATGCAAACTTTCAGCGGAGTAGTACAGGGTGCAGAATTGTTTTTGGATTTTTTCTACGTTTTTGGATTTTTTTGGGGGTTTCGTGCCTGGTGTGATTTGTATGGTGTTTTGCAGGCTTGTCGCATGGTTTCTGCGTAAAACTTATGATTTTCCATGGGCATTTGCTACATTTTGGTGCTTTGGGTTTCATTTTGCATGGTTTCTGCCACGTTTTGCTATTTGTTTCGACCTAAAGCTTGTGAATTTTCTAGCGGTATTTGCATGTATTTGCTACATTTAGGTGCTTTGGGCTGTTATTTTGCACGTTTTGGATTTTAATTCTCATTTTCAAGAATGGTATTTGTCACATTCACTTCAAACTTTCAAGTTGCACTGTATTTGCTGCATTTCGATACTGTTGATTGTTGTGCTGCTTCTTGTTGTTGGTGTTGTTATTTTTGTTCTTGTTGTTGCTGTTGTTTTTCTTTTGCTGTTGTTCTTGTTGTTGCTGTTGTTGTTCTTCTTGTCGTTAATGTTGTTGTTGTCGTTGTCGCTGTTGCTGTTGTTGTTGTTGTTGTTGTCGTCGCGTTTGCTGCTGTTAATCTTGGTGTTGTTGTTGTTGTTGTTCTTCTTCTTGTTAATGTTTTTAATGTTGTTGTGGTTGTTGTTGCTGTTGTTGCAGTTGCGTTTTGTCGTTGCCTTGTTGTTTGCCGTTGTTGCTGTTGCGGCTGTTTGTTGTTGATAAAAAAGCAGGTGGGGGGTGCAGGGGGGGGGGCGCAGCGCCTCCCCCCGCAAAGCGTTTGCAGAAGTTCTGAATGATATGTTGCGGCTTGTTGATAAAAAGCGGGTTGTGGGATAGATACATGGATAGATACCTAGATAGATACATAGATAGATACATAGATAAATAGATAGATAGATGGATGGATAGACAACTAGGAGTAGCCATGGATGGAAGGACACACGAATAAATGGATAGATAGAAAAATACAACAAGATATTTGTTTGTATGTATACAAAGTCAAAGGAGAGATACAAAAAAGACGCAGAAAAGCAAACAAGCAAAAAAAGCAAAAGAGCAAATAAGCAAAAAAAGCAGGAAAAACAAAAAACAAAAAAGCAAGAAAACAAAAAACAAACTAAGCAAAAAAACAAACAAACAAAAAAAACAAAAAAACACAAATAAGCAAAACAAAACAACCAAAAAAACACAAACAACAAAAACAAAGACAAGAAAACAAACAAAACAAAACAAACAAGCAAAAAAGTAAAACCATATTTAAAAAAAACAAAAAAAGCAAAACAGCAAAAACGCAAAAAAACAGAAAAAAAACAAAAAAGCAAAAAACAACAAAAAAGCACAAAAGCAAAAAAGCAAACAAGCAAAACGCGGAAAAGGAGAAAGCAAGATAAAACATGAAATCCAAAAAACAGTCCAACAACGTAAAAAAAGAAAATTCCAAAAAAATAGGCCTCCTTAGAAAAGATGTTAAGGCAATACAGTGTACAGTTCGCGTCCCTGCACTTCTGAAGGTTCAGGAAAATTGTTGTGGGGGCCCAAAAGGAGAAACAGATTGCTGGGCCAGATTGCTTTTAAAGTGTTCAGAGATTGGTGGAAGCGTACCATTCATTCCAAATGTGCAGAAGTCCCAATCATATCTGTATATAATGAACTCTTGATGGCCCAGGGACGAATAATGGTTGGTTCTAGGCAGAAGGCTGTGATTTGTTTACTAGCATCTTAGTGGATCTTCGTCTCATGTCTGTTACAAGATGAAAGGGCAGGCCCACAAACATAACATCAACACAGGTGGCTTCACCATGATCTACAAAATGATCAGGCATCCCAATCATGAACTTTCAACCCACCAACCTGGGAGGCCCCTGGGAATAGATACTGAACGGACATAAGTGCCCCTACAGGGCCCCAGCGTGTTGGGCTGTTGAAGATCCCTGCTGAC